CCAAATTGGACTCTGGCTCCCGACTTTTCCTGACATGATTCTGCGCCTGGACGGAGCAGCGACACAGACGACTCGACTAACGTACTGCCACCTGCTGGCATAATGAGACACAGCAAGAAAAAAATCTGGAAACTAAACTTCATTTTCACCCTTGACTACTGTATGACACGCACACATCAATGAAAACTAAACACATTTTTGCTATAAATTCAGTTAATTACCAGTTAATTTAATCACCCTAACACTCATTATAGTTTTAGTTAGTTTTCCTTTTTTTGTTTTCATTTTTATTTCCGTTAACAAAAATGTTTTTTCACTTCTAGTTTTCGTTATTTCGTTAGTTTTCGTTAACGATAATAACCTTGGTAACTGTGTGTGTATATGTAAGCATTTAAACACTGCAGAGAGAACAATTAACAGTAACAGTATTGTAGAAATTTATTTCTCTTAAACAATAACGTGGCGCACAGTGTGACGTCAAAAAATGCGCACACCTTTGACGCTGCGTTTCCTCCATTTTTCTTGTTAAATGTGAAATTTAACAAATTGTTTTCTTGAAAAATGTGAAAGTCTTTGTCAGGTTTCCTCCGCACAGAGAACTGATGTGGAAAGAAAATGAAGTAACTGAAAGAACATTACAACACAATTTAAAAGACACAACAACAAGAACAGAGGATTTTTCATTACTCACCACTGACAGCTTCTTATGAGACCTCAGGCTATTACTTAGTAGTTCCTATAAGAAATACAGGGTTTGTATTCTGCTGTGCCTGTGTCCAAGTGTCTGGCACGTCAAAGTAAGTAACCATACAAAAAAAACAAATCACCAGTGAGAAGGTCTGTGATTGCATGTGAAGGACAGGTTATGAACTCAAAGTGCTTTGTCTGTGTAATACATACATTGTAGTTTTATTTGGTCATAAAGCTACAAACTTAAATGTTGAATGTTTAAAGTGAAGTAATGATCTGTCATTACTCCAGGTCATCTATGTCATGAGGAACCCCAAAGATGTCTTTACGTCTGCTTTTCACTATTTCGGGTCAACTTCGTTCCTGGTGAAACCAGGCCCACAGAGCGAGTTCCTCCAGAAGTTCCTAGATGGACAAGGTTGTTCTTTTTTTTTTTTTTTACTCTGTATTAGAACAGCAGGTGACATTTAGCTTTTTATTCAGTTGTATTTTACAACTGGTAACCAGAGGAATAAGGATTGATGAAGTTGAACCATTAGTGCAGAGAAGTTTGCTATTGTATTCATAATAACTCAAAGGGAATCTTTTTCTTTTAGTTATATTTGGTTCCTGGTTTGACCATGTAAAGGGTTGGCTCAACGCTAAAGATAAGGAGTCCATCATGTACATCTCCTATGAAGAACTTTTAAAGGTGAGAACATTTGCAAATGCTTTCCAAATAATTTAAACATGAAAAAAGAGTCAAACACTGAGAGTCGTGGTAAGAACGTGAGCTGAACGGTGTTTGTCTGCACGGTGCAGGACCCGAAGGACTCTGTGACCAGAATCGCTCAGTTCATGGAGAAATCTCTGGATACTGAAGTAACAGAGAAGATAGCAGACCGATGCTTGTTCAAGAACATGAAGAAAAACAGCATGTCAAACTACTCGGCTGTTCCTAAAGAAATCATGGACCAGAGCAAGTCTGAATTCCTCAGGAAAGGTGTGTTTTTGTAATGCTACTGAGACTGGTTACCACACCCAAACCTCCCCAAAGTATGTTGGTTTTGAAGCTGTACTGTATGGTGAAATAGCTTGAGTTATATCTCTTATCAACCCCCCTATAGCCTTGACGGGTATGTCTAAACAGGACTCTGGGAGGAGGTGAATGTGGATGTAGGTTTTAAAATGAAAGTATGCAGGCAGGAAAATTATTTGTAATTTTTTTTGTCCTTGTGTTCCTCCTTTGCATCACCGACCCAGCGCTCTTTTATCAGACTTTTAAAGGTTCCAAATAATTGCAGAAAAAGTTTTAACTCTGTTTGCACCTGGACGTGCTACCTAGGTTTTAGAAATGAACCAAGGACTTTCTAAATGATCACCTGAGATAGGGTTTGGATTTTTATCTTATAAGCCTGGTAATAGTACGTAAGGAGCTGAGAAAAACTGTAACAGAATCTTACATTTAACAGTTCCTTCAATTTAGGTTTAATTCTTCTCTGTGTGTTGTGTTTCAGGAATTGCTGGAGATTGGAAGAATCAGCTAACAGAGGCAGAAGCAGAATACTTTGATGCTGTTTACAAAGACAAAATGAAAGATGTCAAATATAAATTTGTTTGGGATTAAAAGACTAAATGAAAGTCATTTCGTCATAGAATTAGAGAACAAAGTAGAGCATTAAATGGTTTGTTGACATGTATTCATGACGTAATTTTGTAGTTATCAACATAAAACTGGTAACAGCATTCTGATTGGTGCAAAACCAAAATCAGCTCTGTTTAAGTGAAACCCTGGTGGAGTGAGGGGGTTGTCGGGGTCGATGTCAGTGATGATGTTGAAAGAGTCCGTGAAATAATTTTCCACTAGGCTAGAGAACTGTGAAACTTAAAATATCCAATGTCACTGAATGAGAGTGACAATAGGACCAGTAAAATGTAACACGTATTTGTTTATTCTATACCATTTTGTTTTCTGCTTCCAAACTTTCACATGATGTACTTTTAACTCAATACCATTTATATTAACTCTTAAGTTGCTTATTCTGCAGATTTTAAAGCATAAAATGTGATAAAAAACTATATATGTTACAGATAAAGCTACCCCCTGATGCACAAGAAAAAATTATGATCTAGTAATATAGTGCATATATTCTGCATAATTAAAGTATATTCTAATGCTCAAACATTTGTTCCATTACTTAAGTAGATTTATGCCTTTATTCAATATGAAACCGTTTTTACATTTGGGTGCAATGCCACTTTACATATAATACTTTTGCATCCGCACACAGGTCTGCACAAGTATGCAAGTCTTCCTGGGCTGTGTGTTTTTCTGGTCAAATGCTCTGAAGTGTCGCAAGGAGTTATGCTACCGTCTGTAGCTCAGATCGTACATCTTATTGTCTGTTAAAGTGGTCACTGTGCCAGATTAAAGCCCTAAAATCTTGCCTAAGTCATGTTTGTTAAATGTTACTACATGTACAATATTGTTAGAAAGAATGTACAAGCTAGCAGTGTATGGGACATCAACGATAAAGTGGTGTAAATCATAATTGAGTTCAATGCAATTTTACATCACCAGTCATCTGAAGGCACTTTAGATTATAAGGTAAAGATCATTCAGTATAAGACAGAAAACAGCAACAATCAGACTATCCCTTATGAAAAAGCCCTTGGAGAGAGTGGGAAGGAAGAACTCTATTTCAGCATGAAAATACATCTTGCAGAACCGGACTCAGTCTTCTGCCATGACGGGCTGTGAAGTGACCATAAAGACACAGAGTAAAACACAAAATGTATGAGAAGATAAAACCAGTGACGGTTAATGGTGTCATACTGATTATCATGTTTGCTTTCACAGCAGTGGGATTGCTCAGCCTCACAGAAAAGAGGGCACTGTCAAGAAAGAATTAGAAGAAACCAAAATGATCTGCTTCTCTAGCTTGCTATTTAATCTTCAGTAGCAAGCTGCAAACCTTAACTAAGCAATTATTATGAAGTCATTCTGGCTCATAAACCAGTAAAATGGTTTAGACAGGGTTTTTTTGTGTGTGATTCTGAACAGACAGCCTTTGAAAGGTCATGCTGTAAAAGCTGGCTGTAACTGAACGCAAGGTTGTTCCATATAGTTGTCTGAATCACTACTGCTAATCCTTTTTTCTAATAACTAAGTGCAGGGCGGAGTTTAGAAAGAAATCTATATCTGTTAAATTCTTTCTTTGTCAGAACGTGAACTCTTTGCTCTTTCACGTGGGTGCAGAGGGAAAGGATTTACTTAAACTAATCATAAGTACCGATTATGGAATGCCTCTTTCCCCCCCCCATAGTTTCCACCACTTTTCTTTTCTTGTTTCAAATGTAACAGATTGCAATCTTTGTAAATATGTAACTATTTAATGACTTAATTTTTTGTATTTCCGTTTACTCACACTTGCAAAATCTTTCCTCTGCTCCACTTAAAGTCAGAGGAAAACTACAGTGCTTTGTCCTGCAGTACACAGTCCTTTCGCTATTTTGCAAAGAACAGTTGTCCAATTAGCGCCTCATTCTATGTCACACCAGTTTTTACAGTGTAATGTCCCTGATGACACATTCTGCTTGCGTTTCAGGGTGACACTGATGTGGTTTCCATTTCCCAAAAAGGCAGTGAGTGTTGTCAGAAGTGTAAAAGTTGTTTGTTTCAATTTAACATTTTAAAAAATTTGTGATTTCTTGGTGCCGCATTGTAAAAGAAGTTTTCCACTGTTAAGACTTTGTATTAGCCAACAGTACACAAACTTAGTTAAAGTTAGAGCAGCTTTTCTTTTAATTTATTGTATAATAATACAATTATAAGCAATTCATATATTTTTCCATTTGTTTTTTTCCCCACAAAAATTGGCATTCGGTTGTGGGAATACTGTTACGGATTCAAAGTATTGGAGATGGATACAAGAGGAAAACCACAATAACAACACTGGTCCGGCCGGGTCAAGTCAAACGATGATTTTAATGAACACATGCGTGGGAGATGGACACTGTATGCAGACAGCATCAGATCTCAAAATGGTGGAGCATTGATCAAACTCTTATAGCCTCTAGTGGCCCCCACCTAGTCGTAAAAGCCTAAACATTCACATTCTTTCTCTCACACGGCGCCTAAGCCTGTTTATCTGCTCCTGCTGAGATGGGGCAGTATGCTCTGTTCTCTTCTAATCAGACAAATAAGGCGATGACTTTCTGCAAACATTATTTCTTCTAACTCAGCAGTATAATGCATCATAAAACAATATCATTCATTCACAATAAATCAGCAGTCTAATGTAATGCAAATCAGTTTACCAAATGTAATAGTTATCACCTTCTTCTAATTCAGGAGAATAATGCAAACTAAAACTACATAATAATTCACAATCTTCAATTAGGGGTATAACATGGCATAAAATAATATTATACTTCCACAAAATACTTCAGCATTCTTGAGTTGTGTACAATTGAGCCAGAGATCATTGTAGGACTGAGCAGAAGATCAGCTGTGCCATCCCTTTATGATTTCAGTATTTTACTGAATAATTGTTCAAACAACAAAATTACAAATTAGGGCACAAACAGATTTTATTTAATTAAAAAATGAGGGAAGTCAGATCCCTCTTCCGTGGAACCAGGTCCCACTTTTGGTTCAGGAGACAGGCACCCTCTCTCGATCTTCAAAAAAAGGCTTAGAACTTTCCTTTTTGCTAAAGCTTATATTTAGGGCTGGATCTGGTGACACTGAAGCTCCCCCTGCTGGGGACATCAAGAAGCACTGTGTGTTTATAGAGCAGTCTGTGTTTAATCATGAGTTATTATTCATCTCTGGCTCTCTTCCACTCTGTCTTTTATCCTATTTTTTATCCTTATTATATTATGGCTGCCCCTCCCTGAGTGTCCCAGAGGCTTTTTTCTGTTAAAGGGGAGTTTTTCCTACCCACCGCTACCAAGGGCTCGCTCATGAAGTGCTGTTTGATTGTTGGAGTCTGTTATTGTCTATTACTGTACGGTGTTAAACTTGCAGTAAAAGTTGCCTTGAGGGAACTATTGTTACTGTTTGCTGTTGTATAAATTGAACTGAAACTGAATTTGTCCAGAGTCTGTTGTTATCTGGGCAACTGATCTCACAACTGTCTGCGTCTGATCTGTTTCTCCAGATGTTTATCTTCAGTTGTTGTGACCTACACTTGGCCCTGTCAGGGGCACAGCTCAATAATTAGATTTAAAAACTAAATGCAAAATTAGTGCATCTAATGGAAATTCACATTACAAAACATTTTATATTTTATGCCACACTTGTATTTTGCCTGTAACAAAATAACAAGCCGATTAAAACGACTCTCCTATTTTTCTGTCTCCTGTTTTGTAAGTCAAATATCATGGTCAACACGGACACAAACATACAATTCCTCCATCCACTGGAAACGGGGTCTAAGAGTTGCTGATCTCAGAGTTAATCAACTCAAGAGTTTACTTTTAAACTCAAAGTTTCTTGTACATGCTTCCAGGAATAGAGGACTCAAGTGCACAAGAGTGAAAGTTTAACAAGTTTAATGAAGTCACAGAGTCAACAGACGTGGTTGAACTGGTTGAGGCACCAAACGACATTCCTACAGTAAGTGCAACGATCTTTTGACTACCAAGAGGCTTGAGTAGCAGGTGACACACCTGCATGCCAAGCTGAGACATGCTAAGCTGATCAGAAAGGTTGTTTGACGTCTATCAGGCTGTTGTCATCGGCATTTTTAAATATTCAACCAAAGAAATGGTGAAACCTAAGTTCAACTTTACACTTTTTTTTGTTTGTTGTTGTTTGTATGTGTTTCTGAACTCATAAACAACTGTTTTTGTTTTGTTTTTTATGACATACTTGTTCCTCACAGACACCCACTACAAATATATGATTTATAGAATAGGATACTGGGGATTACACAAAATATAAAGCGTGTATTCATCAATCTCACACTGAAAAGGGAGCGTTAAAGGGGGAAAGGGGGAGGAAAGGGGATCTTAAACAACTTGTTTCGGACACTGGATCAGCAGTTACTGATAATGTCACTGTCAAACACAAAAGCTGCACTAAGGCTACCTCGCTACCTCAGAATATACATTCACACGTCTCTAAAAACTGTTTATATGTCTGTTTGGTTTTATATGTCAAACTTAGAAACAAAACAGTGACAAATTTGATTGTGAGTGATATACTATGTGTGAGTAGCTTTCGCACATGAACGCCTCTAAAGCAGAGAACGGTGTTTTACCACCTTTATCGAGCAACGTGAATGCAGCTTAGCAGTAGCTAGCTAGTCGGCCAAGATGTTAGCATGCACAATGAGTTTCGATTTAAATTTTTCTACAAAATTGGACTTTTTTAACAGTGTTAAGATTCCCTAATACAAGTGCCGCCCCGATTAATCGCTGTAACTCTTTATATTGACCGACTAATGCCATTGTTATTACTTCATAATATTTCTGCTGTTAGTTTCGAATGCTAGCCAGCATAGCGCCGTTGCTAGCCATCATAAGTATCTGTCATGCTTATATCCTGCCGGACAGAGATGTTGAATGCAGGCTAAGACACACGCCCCACAACTGTAACTAAAGGGTTGTTATCGTAATAACAGGTAGATGGACAGCGTTTTCACTTAGTTATTTCGTTCTAGGTTGTTGCTTCTTTTTCCACAGTATTTCGTAACAAAATAATTATTTTGAATATATGAATATAAAAGTTGCAATGCAATGACGAGGTACATTAGTGTAAAGTAGTCGTTTCTTAGTGGATGTTTTGTTCTTGTTCTCCGAAGGCTCAAAAGCGCTTGCGCTGTACTAAATGACACACTGTAAACCCTGTAGTTTTACATTTTGATTAGATAATGTTATAAACATGTCATTTCTGCTCTTATTAAAGAGAGCTCTGATGACATAAAGATATACTGTCTGCTTAACACTTGTCTAAGTGCACGGGCGGTTGGAGACCTCTGTTTCAGGTAGCTGGGTAATTATCATATATCACAAGACTGGGACAAAACTCACATGGACTCTCATAACTATTTTACTTCTGCTGAGGTAAACTAGTTAAGACCTGTTACCCTTCGTGGTTTATTGTGATGCACTGAGAAGATCGAAGCACACTGATCACTGTAAGGTATGTTCTCACTGACAGACTATACATATATATACTATTCTGTGTCAGTAAAATAGCTCCGCATTTTTGCCTATATTAAAAGCTATCCAGCCTCTAATTTCCAATATATTTCATGTTAAATTGGAGCTGTTTTAATTGTCCTTAGTTTGATATTTCATGTCAAACATATCAAGGGTTTCAGATCAGGTCGGTGTATGTATGAGTAATCCCTGTGTGTTTCAGACTGCTCTGTTTCACCTTTTATTGCTCTTTGCTCAGCATGACGTCATTAAGGTAATATCGCCCGTATATATTCAGTGACACACCTGCTGTTTGTGTTTTTGGTTTGTGAGGGATCTCAAGTGAGGAAAAGAGAGCTAAAAGAACTTGTTTCAGACACTGGATGAAAACGGTGTGGCTGAGATAACTGATGACTTTTTTGGACTGTGAGCTACCCCTCTATAGTCCAAGAGGGTTTTGAACGCCACTGGAGTTGAGCAACCAAACGTGACTGGCAGGAACATCTTAGGCCTCTGAAGTTTCTTGTGTGTGTTTCTGTTTCCCCACGCCTTATTGTATCACCATAGCTTGACAGGAAGTAATGTAACAGACAGAGTTTAGTAAGATCAAAACTTACTGTGCTGTAAGTTTTTCAGTGCAAGCCAAATATTCTGGTTAGTTATGATGTAATGTATCCAGAACTACACAGAGCTGTGATTACTTTCTGTTTCCTTTCCTTGTGTACTGGATTGTTTTGAGCCTAATCATGTCACATGGATTATTACCCAACAGCTGATGTAAATCAGCTGAAGCAAAAGCCAGGAATGTGAAACCTAAGGCCTCATGCCCTCTGTTTTCTCCCCAATTTCCAGTGTCCAATCAGAGAACAGCTTCACTTAATTTACACTGTGTTGTCTTATAAATTCTCAGTCTTCATTAATGCTTTGACCATTTCTGGATATGTAAGTGTGGGTACATCAAAATTAAGGACAGGGACATGACATACATGCATACATGAACATGGCTGTTGGTTTCAGTTTCATTTCTCTTGTGCTTGAAACGAAACACAGCTGGGTGGGAGGGAAGGGAGGAGGAGGAGAGTATTTAAGCTTGAACAGGATGTTTCAGGTTCATGTCTTTGTTCAAGGCGAGATGAGTGCAGATCTTATCATTTGAAGGAACAGGTAAGATTGCTCTGATTCAAGCACTTTTGTACTATTGGCTGTATTTTATGCACACATATAACTATTATATAGTCTATATGTTTATAGAGGCTTTTGTTTTTCATAGATGATAACAGTGTAAACTCAAACAGTAGTCATCAGCAAACACATTGTGGTTCTTTTGGATAAAACATAATCTGCTTCTGTGGTTAACATGTTCTCAGTTATTGCTATTTTGATATAACTAGTGCCATTTTATTCACAGTGCTGCACATTTAGTGTTTGCCATCAGTGATAAAACATTGACTAGTGCACAGGATTAGTAACCCAAACAGTTTGATTTAGTGTTAATTTAATCTTGGACCTTTGAGCATTAAAACCTGCACATTTCGCTAGTTTAATTTAAGTAAAACACATTGATACACAGTCCTTGAAGAAGAAAAGCCAGTAGCTCAAAAGTAACTGGACAAACAACCGTCTTAACTTTAAATATAAAGGAGTGTTTTTAATACTGGTGTGAGAGTCATTAAC